TAATATTATATATTGTTTTATATTGATTGCTATGAAGCACTCTTAGGGACTAATTTAGTCAATAAAAATGTTGAAAAAAAAACCAAAGAAATCACAAACCCTTCCTATTGAGTACAGAAAGGAGAGCACTATTAATAACTCCTAAGGCAAAGGGACAGGATCTATAGCCCAGGAACTAAAATTAGTGATAATGCTAAAGGGAGTTGTAGCAAATGATGCTTTCTAGAAGACAGCCATAGGCACTTGTGTACAGAAGCCAGGTCACCTCCATTAGTCACGAAACCAAAGCAAATGCTTCTGCATGAGGGCATTGGATTGCACTGTTACATAATCACTTTGTGGCCATCTATACAAACAGGATTGTCCAGAGAACTTGCTTTTCTGTAGGACACAAAGGATAACACAAGTTTTTATAAAAGGTGCATTTTAAGACAACCGATCCATTCCTGCAAGGCATTTTATTCTGATTTTCAGAAATCATGATCATCTCAGTAGATGCATAGAAGGCTTTCTGACAAAATCTGACATCCTTGAATGATAAAAGTCCTAGAGAATCTAGGTACACCGGATGTATTTCAGCAGAATAAAGACAATATACAGGAAGCCCACAGCCAACATCATGTTAAACTGAGGAAAACTCAAAGCATTTCTACTAAAGAATGGAGCAGAATGTTCACTCTCTCTATTCCTGTTCAGTATATTTCTTAAGCATTAGCTAGAGCAATAAGATGAGTGAAAGAGGCAAAGGGGTACAAAATAGGGAAGGAAGAAGTAAAATCACGCCCATGTGCAGATGATATAATTATCTCTATAAAAGTACCTAAATACTCAGCCAGGAAACTTCTATAATTGATAAATTCATTCAACAAAGTAATGGTATACAAAGTTACCATGTAAAAGTCAGTATCTCTCCTATATCAAATGGCAACAATTAGGGAAATTAGGAGAACAATCCCATTCACAGTATCTTAAACACAGAATCCCACAACATCATCTTGAAATAAGTTTAACTAAGGAAGAAAGATGTATAAAATAAAAACTTTAAGACATCAAAGAAAGTAACTGTAGAAGAAGTAAGAAGATGGAAAACCTCCCTCCCAAGCTCATGGGATGAGAGGAAAAATATTGTGAAAATGTCCTTGCTACCGAAAGCAAATTATAGAATAAGGGTAACCACCATCAAATTACCAATTAATTTAGTCACAGAAATTGAAAAATAATCTTGAATTCCACATTGCCAGTTTGGACACATGCATGGGGTGAGAGTGGGGAGAGAACAAGCCTGAATAATGAAAGAACTAGTGGCGGTATCACTGTTCTTGGCTTTAAGTTTATAACTACCGAGCTGTAGTAATAATAGAGAGAAAAACAATGATGAAGCAGGAAGTGGCCCTTCCTCCAACCTTATTCTTCTACTTCTTATTCCAGGGGCATGTGATTGTCACAATAGTAATAACCGTATTTATGGTACAGAACACCTAACAAACATTTACTTATGGTAGATCCTGTCTTGGGGCTTTTGCCAGTGTTAATTTGTTTGCTGTCAACATAGCCTATGAACTTGATGACGGTCATTGCCATTTTATAGATGAGGAAATGGTAACATAGATTGGTTAAATGATATATCCAAAATCCCTCAAGTACATGCTTGCTTTGATTTTGGCTGGAAAATCCAATATAGTGATTATGCAGCTAAATAATGGTCTTGTATTAGCAATTCCACTGTATTGCTAGAGTCTCTAGAAGTTGACTTGGGTGAAATTAACCAAAGACTTTGTCCTTCACTCAGGTTTTATCCCCTCATGATGCTACTTCTTTTTAAAATTTTATTTCTTTGCTTTAAACTTTAGGCAGGCTCAAAATACTTTGGATTGAGTTCTTATCAAGGGAAGATGTGATTTTTTTCTCATTTTATTCTTGATTCATAGTTAAGCTCATGAATGCCCAGCATTCAGAAGTCCCATTTGAGTCTCCAGGGCTTCCAGAGATCATTCACTTTTTTTTCCCGTTTCTGTACTAGGGTTCACCCCTGATCTCATGTTGCTAGATGGACACTTTACTGATGGCTGCATGCTGAGTTCCAGAGATAACTTAAACTTTCCATGTAAGCATGCACACCACAAAACCTGACTGCTGAGAGCTCAGATGTCTCATGTGTGAACTCTAGAAAGAACAATGATTTTCTTGGCTACTCATGTCTTCATTATAAAATAAATATTTTATACTAAAATATTTTTCCAACTTGGAACTGATTTGAGAAAAGTGGTTAGTCATAGAGCCCTGCCATGGAGGCACAGGTAACTAAGATACACTCCAAAATATGTCTTTTCTTTGAGTCTGCCACTTTTAAATTATTTTCTACCTTAGCACTTCCAGAATATCACTGTTATCACAGAAATGAAAATAGGATGCCAGGAATTCATAGCACTTTATGACACTGTGTTCACTAACACAGTGCACTCACTCCAGATAGCAGAGACCACTGCCCCAAGGAAATTCATGCCTGGTGAGCAAAGTGAATGGGGAAGCTACATTACCAAGTTTATGTGAGGCTATGAGAAACAGGACACCAAACAGCAGGAATAAGGGTGGTGAAGGTAACAGTCATGGTAAGGGGCAGGAGGGCAGGACATTTTGAGGGGATATCTTAAAGGAGACAGGTCCCAAGGAAAGGAAATAGTGGAGGAATAGTGAAATAGAGATTGCTTCATTATATCTGGCACATTTCTAGTGTTCTAGCCATCCTGATAGAAATGGGACCAGCTTCTATCTAGAAGCATCATATTACAGCTGAAAGAGCAGGACTTACAGGGTCAGAAAAAAAAAAAAAAAAACAAGGATTCAAACCTGATTTTGGTGTATGGTATGACTACGTTATCCCTCCTATATGATAGGGAGGTCCTCCTCCCCTACTATCTGACCCTAGCCTGTCAAGTCTCATCAGGACTGTCTGGATCCTCTTTCTCTGTGGTGTAATAATGCCACCTCATCAGGGGGAGTGGCTCAAAGAGCAGGCAACCAAGTTCATGCCTGTGACTACCCCTGATCCCCTTACTAGGGGACCCATGTGGAGACTGAGCTGCCCATGGGCTACATCTGAGCAGGGGGTCTAGGTCCTCTCCAGGCATGGTCCTTGGTTGATTCATCATTATCTGCAGGCACCCCTGGGCCCAGAGTTTTTGGCTCTCTTCATCTCCTTGTGGAGCTCTTGTCCCCTCCAGGTCTTTTTATCTCCCCCTTCGTCCCTAGGCTCCTCTGCACTCTACCCAAAGTTTGGCTATGAGTCTGAGCATCCCAGCAGGGTCTCTGCATATTTTTAATCCACAGTTGATGGGAGATATAAATGCAGAATCTGAATAAGTAGAACTGACTGCATACAAGTTTACTTTGAAAGTAAATTAAGAGAACTCCAGCACGTTAGAGAAAGCACTGATCTTCCTTTCATGTTATGTGAGGGGGAACAATTATTATGTATTATGAATGACTGAAGAAGGAACTAGAAAACAGTAATGATCATGATCCTGATGAGAGCAGCCACATTCCAAAGAGAGCCAAGTGTGTACTAAACCCACCAAGAGAGTCCAGGGTCAGGGAGAGAGAGACAGAGACAGAGACAGAGACAGAGAGACAGACAGAGAGAACAGGTAGAGACAAAGAGAAAGAGGATACAGAGAGAGACATACAGAGACAGATGGAGACAGATACACAGCACTCACTGTGTGAAATGTTAATGTTAACCTCTTCTTCATATTAGCTCTAGTAGGTAATAAGCATTTTAAATCCCATTTCCCATAACAGTAAACAGGTTTAGAATGGTTAACTCATTTGCCCATGGTTACATAGTCCAATGGCTGAGCTTTCTGGCATAAAAACCTGTATTCTATCATAGTGCATCACTTGTCTAGGACTCAGGAACAGCTATAATTACTATCTATTGCTACAGCTCCGGCACTTTTGTTTCTTTTTGCTCATATTCTCTCTGCTGCTGTGGAAGTCAGTAACTGCCTGTGGTAACTAATGCTTCCATTTCCCATTGCCTTAAAACCCTCCTCACTAACTTTCTCACTGGAACCCTCTCCAAGTGAGCTCAGTTGGAGAAATTCTGTCTTCCTTTAGCGACAGCCAAAACTATGCTGTCCTTACAGCCCATCTCAAGTAGGATTTCTTATAGTGATAGATTATATAACTCCACAAAGAATGAAAAAAATCGATGTAATGAGCAAAGCAAGTTTCTGTGGTAGAAAAGGAGAGAGAGTGTTTCCTGAGCAGAGAGATACTTTCCTATAGAAACAATCTTAGCATTGGAAGTCAGGTTCTACAGTTTTATTAACATAACTAAAGCAGCAATATAATGAACTTGCCAGCTCTGTGGCCCAGGTGGGTTGTCTTGGAGCCCAAGCACCGTTTGAAATATGTTCTATGGGAAAATGCTCCACAGTAGACAAGGTAAAAGGACTATGAATGAATTCAGCATCCATATCAGAGCCTGTAATATTCAGTATCTATCACACAGCATGTACTAAAAATGTGTATTGATTGTTTGATCTTTAGTACAATTGTCATTCATCAGCAAAGGGATATCTAGGGTTTTCACTTCAATCAAACTAAGGTAGAATTGTATGGTAAAGTTATACGTGACCTTTAGAGCATGAATTAAATGTCACCTTCATTTTTAATTAATGCTATTGCACAAATGGTTAAAGTAGATTAATCTTATTACAATGCACTGGATACTTGTAATTTTTCAGGTGGTTTATAAGTTATAGGCAAGTGGATGTTGGAATGGTCCCTCACTGTAGAACATGCTGAAAAATGGCCTAGTATTCCAACATGCTAATTCTGGCTGTAGGCATAGTCTTTCCAAGCGAGGTTCGGATGGCCCAGCTACATGCGTGTCAGATGATGTGCTTTATCTAGGGAAAGTGAATTCTCAGGTATATGCTTTGGATACAATAAAAATATCTGCTTATTTCAGAAAAGAAATTATTTTGCTTTTTCAGATGTAACTGTATGGAGCCACATAGTCCCAACAATGATACACTGAAGGAATGGAGGGAGTCCAATATTTCTGCCTCTGACATAATTTGGGGGAACCTAACTGTGTCAGTAAGTAAAACATGACAAAAGATGTCACATCATGCCCCATTTACTGTAAAGACTTTTATTGACATTTTTAATCAGTTATTGCTAATAAGGTAAGAATGTTGAAAATACAAACCCATACAAGTGGTAGCTTTGTCTTAAAGTCTATCCATAATTGGGGTTTCATCCCTTATGAAAAAAGAATTCTTTTCCTAGGCCTAAGCTTCTTTGGAGATTTACACAAACAGAAAAAGAGGGCTAGAGTCGATGTTATATAGTAGAACAAGTGACTTCAATGAAACTGTCTTAGTGGGGCACATTCTACCTTGCACACGACAGACTTGGATGTTCTACTTTATTCTGCAATGTTTCTCCCACTGTTCAGAACAGGCTGAGGGGAGAGGATGAGCCTGATATTTTCTGTAAATACTCGTCTCTGATGAACATGACAGTTTAAAAAAAACTCATATGTTTCTCAACAGATTTCTCATTTCCATTTTTATTCTTTAGTCTTCTCAGAAAAAAAGAGGGGGCTAGACATATTTTTGTCTATAATGGTTAAATTCTGTACCTTTGTTTTATTCTCTTAGGCACTTTGTAATTTTTTTTCCCATAGGAACATTTTTCTGTCCTTACTCTTTACCTCATGTGTGTGCATATCATATAATCTGTATTCACAAGCTTCACTTCTCTTCAGTGAAAACAAGAAATTTGGTTTAAAAAAGTGTTCTTTATAATAAGTATAAAAACCCCTGAGTAGCCCCACTTTTTCCTATTCCTTTCAGTTACAAACATAAATATCCCACCTTACCTACCTGTGTGTTCTCAAAATTCCTTATAGGTATCAGTACAAAGCCAAACAAATTCTATATAATTTAATCAAATATGTACTATTTTACTAAGTCTGCTAATGGAAAATAGAAATATTCTTGTTATAGAATTTTATAAGCCTCTAAATATGTTTAGTTAAGAATATGACCTATTACCTGTTTCTGATATATACGTTTTTCATAATTAAAAGCAAATTACTTACTCTTGGTTTACAATTTAATCCTGGCCTATATTTTATGACCTTAATTTTCTCCTGTGCGTGCTCTCTCTCATTTTCTCTCTCTCTCTCTCTCTCTCTCTCTCTCTCTAGAGAGAGAGAGAGAGAGTGTGTGTGTGTGTGTTTGACATACAGTGAGCATAAAACAGAAATTAAATGTTGAATTTTATAGGTCACAAGTTTTACTTTTAAAATCCAGGCATCTTGAAAACAGCAGTGTCCTCTGTTATTTTCAAGGAATTGATGATGTGAATAAGAAAGTATAATTCAGTTTATTGAGAATTTAGATCTGGTCATGGTGGATGTGTTTGTAGTGAGTGTTCTTCCAAGATTCCTTGTTTATAAATTGAATTATAACTAAAGAGCTTCTTTTCATTTCTTTTATTTCTATTTTCCTCTTCAGTACAAATTCAAAATAATCCAGTCTGAATTATTTAACAAAATAATTGATAATATATTCTCTGAGTCATTTAATGCTAAATAGCAAAATTTACTCTATGTATTAGGTAATCCTGAACAATGGCCTTCTAAAAGACAGATATTTTACACTGATGTAATTAGCCATAAGTGAATTATTTTTTTTAAAAAAATTTATTTAAGAATTTTAAATCAATATATTTTGATATGTTTCCCCCTCCCCACTTCCTCTAAAATCCTCCCCACTTTCCTACCCCCCCCCAGCTTTTGACAATAGAAGTTTTGAAATCAACTAGAGGATTATGCAAATTGCTTTAGACACAAAGCAAATTTAACATTTGGTGACTTAATTTTTAAAGTTCTCTACTATGGGTTATGCTATGGAAGAAATCTCATATTATTTTTCAAGTTAATAGCAGCATCTTCAATAGATAATTTATATTCTTGACCAGAAACAGACCTGCATCGATATTACATATTACATAAAAGAAAAAACCCAATGATTCTTAAGTCAATGAAAATTAGTAAGCTTATGCTGCTTTTTCTCAGCATAACAATAATTATTTGTCAAATGTGTGTCATTAATGAAACACTACATTGATGACTATTGTGACTATTTTGTAAAAATAGTGATATAACATTTAATTTACATAGTATATATTTTCCATGTCATATATTATTTCATTTCATCATACTATTTAATTCAACTTTTATGGCAAGCTAGTATACTTAGACCTCTCTCTCTGTGTATGTACATCAGTATAGTCAGCACGTCTCAAAGTCAGCCATGCTAAAGAATGCTTAGACACACTGTAAAATATTTCACGCATGCCTGTAATAACAGTTGATGTAAGAGAAGCCATAAATTTTAAGAGAGTGAGGAGGTGTATATGGGAACATTGGAGGAAGGAAAAGGGATAGGAATATTGTAATAATAGTATAATAGCAAAATCTTTTCAAAAAAGAAAGGAAAGTGATTATCAGGTGCTTGAAAATTGTTTCAATATGCTTTTTTTTAGCCTGTACATATACAAGGGAAAGATACTCATAACTTTAAATTCTTATTTTCATAATCATAGTCATAATTTTAATTCTAATTTTGGCCAACTTACATAATTGTTGAAATAGAATATGTTGGAAGAGTAATTAGAATATGTTTGTCACCAAGTATCTTTTGAATACCCATTATATGCTGGACCACGTTAGACTGAAATGAAAGAAAAAGTTTTAGATTTTGTTTATACTTTTAAATTTTAGGACTTGTTTCTCTCCCTGTCTCTTAGTCTCTGTCTCTTTTTCTTTCTCTGCTCTCTCTCTCTCTCTCTCTCTCTGTGCATGTGTGTTGCACACACAGATAGCATAAAACTGAAAATAAATGTCAAAATCTGTAGGCCACAAAATTTACTTTTTAAAATCATAGCACCATCCCCTGGAAAACAAGAAAAAAAAAATAGTACAATTTGCTTCGAGTTGAAATAACGAGGCTTGGGTGCGGGTGGTTTGTTATGGACATGGCACTGGAGTGATCGTTCTTAGTATCTGTCTTCTGAGGAGGAGAGGATACGACCCGTGTACATCCAAAGAAGGTTTAGAAGCCTTTAACACGTGCGTACAAGACTGCAGGCGTTCACAATCAATACTTTTCGTGAGGGGCTCTCCCCACCTCTGCTTAAATATCCTGGTACACCTTACGCTGATTACGCAAAGCATTTCTGACATTTACTCAAAGCATTTCTGACATGCACACAAAAAGAGACTAGAAAAGTCAAGGATTCGGTTTTGGGTTGTTTGGGTTTTGTTGTTGTTGTTGTTGTTTGTTGTTTCTATTTTATTTATTCAGTTTTACAGAAGGAAAATTAAAGCTATGAATAAAGCCTAGAGGATTATTCTGTAGTTTTTCTGTAGCTATGTTTCTGTCCTCTGAATAAGCTTAACAAGACACTGTGGGGTCTGTTGGGCACTTTTAATGTATTTTTTTCCTATCTGGTAAGAGTTTTTATTTTATTTTATTTTATTTTTTGGTTTTTTAAAAATTTTTATATAAATTACAGTTTATTCACTTTGTATCCCAGCTGTAGCCCCCTCCCTCATACCCTCCCAATCCCACTCTTCCTCCCTCATCTCCTCCCATGCTCTTCCCCAAGTCCACTGATAGGGGAGGTCCTCCTCCCCTTCCCTGTGACCCTAGCTTATCAGGTCTCTTCAGGACTGGCTGCATTGTCCTCCTCTGTGGCCTGGTAAGGCTGCTTCTCCCTCAAGGGGGAGGTGATCAAAGAGCCAGCCACTGAGTTCATGTCAGAGACAGTCCCTGTTCTTCTTACTATGGAACCCACTTGGACACTGAGCTGCTATGGGCTACATCTGTGCAGAGGTTCTAGGTTATCTCCATGCATGGTCCTTGGTTGGAGTATCTTGATAGGATTTCTTAAGAACTTTATTTTGGGAACCTGTGTCAAGGAAGGTTTACTGCTTGGTTGCTTGTTTTCAGGTAACAGTGTGACCACTTACTTATTCTAAAATATTTCAGGGGAGTTTTTAAAGCTATAAGTGAAGTCAGGCACTTGAGATTTGATTCAGTGGAAATACTTCATCTCTAAATTTTCTTTGTACTATTAAAAATTCCTAGAAGATTAAATAATTTCCTGGGTTCTTTAAGCCATTGTATTTCTATTTATTTTGAATAAAGTAATATAATTTTCTCATACAAAAGTTTTTTAAGATGACTTAGAAATATTTTTTTTCTTTCACGATATTTAATGCTTTTATAAAATACTGTTTTGTCTTAAAATTCTTTTTGACTTTGCTGCCACCTAATGGCTAAGGCAGTAATTAAAAATATTTTTTCTTCTTTTCCTTTTTTCCTTAAAAAAGGAAAGGGAGAAAAAAAGGAAGGAAGGAAGGAAGGAAGGAAGGAAGGAAGGAAGGAAGGAAGGAAAGAAAAGAAGGTCCACAGGGAAGCAGAGAAACATGAACTTTACCTTGATCATGTAATAATTTTTTATCATTTGTTCTTTGAATTTAGTAGTTACTATATCGGATTCCATTTCTTGTCAGAGACAGCTTCTGTACCCTTACTAGGAAATCCACTTGAAAACTGAACAGCCAGTGGGCTTCCTTTAAACAGGAGGTCTAAGTCCTCTCCACGCATGGTCCTTGGTTGGAGTATCAGTCTCTTCAGGCCTCCTGGGTCCTGGTATTTTGGCTCTATTGTTCTTCTTGTGGAGTTCCTGTCCCTCCAGGTCTTTTTTTTTTTTTAAGATTTATTTATTATGTATACAATATTCTATCTGCATGTACTCACACCAGAAGAGGGCACCAGATCTCATTATAGATGGTTGTGTGCAACCATGTGGTTGCTGGGAATTGAACTCAGGACCTCTAGAAGCAAAACCAGTGTTCTTAACCTCAGAGCCATCTCTCCAGCCCCCCTCCAGGTCTTTTTATCTCTCTCTTCTTTCATAAGGATTCCAGCACTCTGCCCAAAGTTTGGCAACGAGTCTCCTCAGTTTCTCCTTCAATACCCTGGTGGGTAGAATCTTTCGAGGTCCTCTGTGGAAGGCTCCTGTCCTTTTCCTTGTCTTCTCCTACCTCTCATGTCTCTCCTGTTTGCCTTTCTAAATGAGCTCTTTAATCACCTTCCTCGGAGGGTGCAGCCTTGCCAGGCCACAGAGGAAGATGATGCAGCCTGCCTTAATGAGACCAGATATGCTAAGATCAGATAGAAGGGGAGGAGGTCCTCCCCTATCAGAGGACTAGAGAGAGGGCATAGGGGAAGTAGAGGGAGGGTGGGTGATACTGGGAGGCGACAAGGGAAGGGACTGCAGCAGGGACACAAAGCGAATGAGTTGTAATAAATAAATACATAAATAAAATTAAATTTAAAAAATTCCATTTCTTTAGTATATCATTGTTTTCTAGTTGATTTTCTGATATTTCCTGGTATTTTGAACTAGTTTTTCAAAGTAATTATTGTTTTTTAATAATCTATAATTCCTACCACAGGAGCAGTGCATTTGCCCCACTCTACCACATAGCATTGATGAGGCAGGAGACTGAAATGCATTGCTCAGTCTCTCCATGCCTCAGCTTTCTCTGATATCACATACAAATAAAAATATCTATCTATGGTATGGGCATCAAAATAATCAAAACGATATCTTTAAACGCTTCGTCATGTATCTGATGTTACTATAAACTATGCATTATGCAACCTACCACACTTTAAATACATTTTTTATCTTTTTATCTTGAACTTAATAGATGTTAGGCTTAATACCTTTCCAAGTAGAACCTTGAAGGTAGGTATCATATCTGCTAAATGCCCTGTGGGAGCCATCGAGGAGCAATCTCCACGTATCAGCTACAGTTGATCAGGTGCTAGTTTTCTGGAAGAAAAGCACTGAGCTTTCCTTACCAGCTCTGTTTCCCTTCCCTTGCAGGAGTGCAGATCGCTGCACGGGGAGTATGTCGGGCGAGCCTGTGGCCATGGCCACCCCTACGTGCCCGATGTTCTCTTTTGGTCAGTGATCCTGTTCTTCTCCACCGTTACTATGTCAGCCACCCTGAAGCAGTTCAAGACCAGCCGTTATTTCCCAACCAAGGTACTTGGGCTCGAACAGTCCTGATCCAAATGTTAGCTAACACAGTTGTTCTGAAATCCTCCGTGCTTAAGGACTAAGGAGGGTTACTAAGGAAGGTACCATAGGAAGGTTTTGTTGTGAGCGAATTGGTGAGTTAGATGTAGGCTGACGGGAAGATGAAGGTGGAAGGGGGCTGATGAAGAAGCGCTTTGTGACACAGGTGCTGGACATGGTACAAGCCTTGCAGGTGTTTCTTCTAACTGAAAGGATCAACACTCCCTTTCCCAGGTATCGGTTTGTAAAGTCAAATCACACAGCATTTTATTGATTGTCACTTTCTTGCCTAGTGAGCAGTGGCCTGTGGCAGCCTGACAGATATCTAGAGGAGCCATGGTTACACTCTAAATGGAGAAGCCCTGCACTGTGCACTTGAACTATTTTCTTATCCACCTTTAAAAGCATCAATCCTTTCCCCTAACCCACTGTGCTGGTATCTGAATAATTGGCAAGAAAACAGAGAACAAATTGGGTTCAGTACTTAACACTGTAAAGTAATGTCCATGACATCTATGAAAAGGGGCAGGGCTGAAATAGAAAAACACAAAACAAAACAAAGAAACAAATGTTTGGGGGTTAAGAAACACATTTAAAAAAAAACCTGCTTCGGCAAATGTGTCAGGAAGAGTTTCTTCCACAGAGAGCTGCTTTTCCTGCCGCTTTCTTCTTGGCTAGGATGACAGACTCGTTTCCTCCACCTCTGACCTGAACCTGAACAATGCTGAATTAGTCTCCATGTGTTGGAACAGTGATCCTACGTACTGTGTATGCTTCAGAAGCATCCTAATAGAAAACAAAGAGTACCGGTAGTTGTTTAAGGATAATTACTCACAATGTCCTTGTAGGGCTTGGAAGATGGTTCAGTCAGTAAAGCACTTGCTGGATGAGAACCTGAGCCAGAGCCCCAGAATCCATGTTAAAAGAAAAAACAAAAAACAAACAAACAAAAAAAAAAAAAAAAAAAAGCTGGGCGTATTGCCACACACCAGACAGAGCGAAGTTGGAGGGGCAGGTGGATCTCCGTGTGCCTGAGCCTGTGCTTTGCCTGACCTCCTTAGTCAAGTCCCCTACCAGTGAGAAGCACGGAGGGCCAGCGCTTAAGGAGGCTCTTTCTCTAACTTGTGTGCGCCCTGACCTGTGCAGCCGCTAAACAGCGGCTTTCTACAATGGTTTGAAAAGTGGCCTATATAAAATTCATTTTAAATAACAGAAAATTCAAAATCTGCCCACACTGTTGTGTACGTTACTAGTGGTCATGCTTTAAGTAAAAATAATTAGAGCATACATCTTTAGTAAAAGCAGGTAATTTCATTCAATGGTCCTATGGATTCACGATGTTAAAATATAACGTCTATGAGAGCATCCTAAAATTAATCAGATGCAGGCCAGATAATATTTTTTTCTACGCTCTACATTTTCTCATATTTGGTCTTGTAGTAAATACTTTTAAGTAAATATTGGAAAGAAAATGAGCACCAATATTTCTGTTCAATAAATTTTTATTCTGAAAAGTGTGGCTAAGAGACATAGATATGGATTCAGATTCTAGTATTGTATACTGAGCATACAATGTAACATCATATTATGTTTATCATATTTGTTTGTAAAGTGCGATCCAAGACCGTTCCTGAATATTCCCAGTTATTTACATCTCCTTCCCTCAAGTCACAACATTTTCATTATTTTTAGGTTCGATCCATAGTGAGTGATTTTGCAGTCTTTCTTACAATTCTGTGTATGGTTTTAACTGACTATGCCATGGGGATCCCATCACCGAAACTGCAAGTACCGAGTGTTTTCAAGGTACCTTATCTAGCACTTAATATACTTCTGCTTTTCTACCTCTCTGTGTCTGATAGATGATATCTGTGGCTCCAGTACCTGGGATTTTCATGAGAGCGTGAACAATATACATTCATAGATTAAGAAATAAATTGTCTAATACTAAAAAGAATTATAAAAATGAAACCTGAAGACTGATTAAATGTTTTTCTGTTACAGTTAGAATGTATACATGCAATACAACATGCCTAAACACTACAGAAGCCTTCTGAAACTAAGGAACATGCATTATTGTGAGGCAAAACTGTGAAGTGAATAGGGTTTGAAAAACAGATAAGAATAGGCTTGGGATGAGTATTGCAACCACGTTATAAGGGCAGGATATGTCCTTGAAGCCAGTAATTTACTGTCTCAGCCTGTTTTCTCATCTTTCAAGCAGAGCTAGGGACTCAATCATAGGATCATTTGCTGTCATAATGAATTCCTCTGGGACCATGTTTTGAACCTTTTGCTGCGCTTCTGATGTCACTAAGTTTCTGTTTGTTCTTTTTTGTCATGCAGTAGCCTGGGCACACACCTAGAATAAATTCCGTATTATACCAAAACATTCTGTTTACATTTCTACTTGTGATTCTAACCTAAAAGAAAGTTCCATCTTGCTTCTAGCATAGTATTCAATGGGCAATTTTAAATAGAGACAGTAAATGGTGTTTTGCTGTTATTTATTTAATACAGGTGTTGATGGAGAATACCTTTTAAATTAGTCTGCTAGCCAAAATTCAACCTCAATTAATTAACAGACCTGGAACCTTAGACAATTTACTGTTGCGCTCTATGTCTCAATTTCATCTTTACAGTGTTATGAAGAGAAAATGGGTTAAAAGATAAAACAAGTAGAATGGTGTTCTTTTTTTTTTTTTTTTACAATACCTGTGACAATATCCTTTTTTGTTTTTTAATTATTATCATTTATTACAATTTATTCAATTTGTATCCTGTCTGTGGCCCCCTCCCTCATATCCTCTCAGTTCTACCCTCCCTGCCTCTTCTCCCCCTATGCTTCTCCCCTAGTCCACTTCTCCTTCTATCTGACCCTAGCCTATCTCTTAATGATGTAAATGCTCCAAGAGTTCATTATTTATTAAATTATCAGCCAATCATTCCATAACTACGTTTTCCATGTTTGCGTCTGTATGACTTAGTTTGATTAGATATTTATCAGTCTAGCTACTGATATGTATGCTTACATTTTCTTCCCAGCCTACCAGAGACGACCGTGGATGGTTTGTTACGCCTTTAGGACCAAACCCGTGGTGGACAATTATAGCTGCCATTATCCCAGCTTTGCTTTGTACTATCCTAATTTTCATGGACCAACAGATTACAGCTGTCATAATCAACAGAAAAGAGCATAAGCTAAAGGTGTGTTTTAACATCCATTATAATTTAAATGATTTTTACCTAGCTGATAGGAATTGCTGGTCATAGGTTTGGCTTGTATTGTGTTTCATTTGTTCAGTATAAAATTCTATTTTCAGGTTCATAGTTTTTATTGTGTTCTAGGACACTTTGTATTATGGAAACATGAAAATGTGGTTCCAACATTTGACTAACCTCCAAAGACTGAATTCTTATGTTTAGGATTTAAAAGAGTTTAAAAGGTAACATGCTTAACATTAATTTAGGGAAATATTCAATTATGGTGAAATACAATTTTATTATCAACTTGACTTATGTCTGGGATTTCTCTGTTCCTTTATTTGACACTAAGTATGTTCATTATTTTAAGGACCATGTCTCCAGGTATGTTTCACTGAATATATTTAAAAATTATTATTTGTTTGTAATGCCTAAAACAAAGGAAAACTTTGTTCACAAATACTATAGATTATAAGTGACATCTTTGAACATTATTGCAGATTTTTTAATAACTTTTAAATGCAAATAGATTTTATTTAATGTATTCTGGCCTGCTGATTTGCAACTGTAAGTAATTAAATTTTTTCATCATCATTCAATTTGTATGGAGCATAAGTGTTATCATTTTTATATGTAAATCTTAAATAAATATTGAATTGTTAAAAATAATCAGAATCAATAAAGGGAGAGAGAGCAGAATAACTGTAAAAGCCAGAAGAACAGGAAGTTTGCTGTGAGATAGGAAATCTACATTTATGAAACTTCAACAAGGACAACACCAAGAGATATGCAGGGAACCTTATGGAAGTGGGGGTGATAGAAAGGCCTGGAGGGGACAGGAGCTCCACAAGGAAAGCAACAGGACCAAAATATCTGGGCCCAGGGGGCCCTCCAGAGACTATGAATCAACCAAGGACCATGCAGGGAGAGGACCTAGACCTCACAGATACAGATCATGAGCAACTCAGTCTCATGTAGGTTTCCTAGTAAGGGGAGCAGGGGCAGTCACTGACATGAACTCAGTTGCCTACTCTTTGATCACCTCCCTCTAGGCCACAGAGGAAGATGATGCAGTCAGTCCTGATGAGACCTGATAGGCTAGGGTCAGATATTAGGGATGGAGGCCCTCCCCTATCAGTGGACTAGGGGACGAAATTAGGGGAAGGTTGGGGGAAGAGGGAGAGAGGGAGGGACTGGGAGGAGATGAGGTAGGAGGCTACAGCGGATTACAAAGTGAATACATCGTAATAAATAATAATAAAAAGAGAGAGATGTTAACATGAAGAAGGAAATCTCACAGAACTCTTTACCAGACAAAGAACTAGACGCAGCTAATGATTGCTGAGAGAGGGAGAATTAGTCTTTTCCAGGGATGAGCCCCCTAATTGATTAGCCGGTACCAAATGGTTAGCGCTGTAGTCATATACACACAAGTAATACCAAATGAAATCAGTAGGTTGTATTCATGTATTTGTGTGTGTGTGTGTGTGTGTGTTATGTATGTAACAATAATAAAGAAAAAGAGGCCATGAATTTGAAAGGGAGGTAGGGGCATGGCAAAGGTTGAAAAGAGGAAGCGGAAAAGGAAGGATGAAGTAATTATAGTTAATTAAAATTTTATTTCTTTATTTAACTGCTGTAAATTTTCCTTGTTAATAAAATACATTTTATTTTACAGTGGTTAAATAAATAAATCCATTTTATTTATTTTACAGCTTGATCCCAGCTCCCTTGCCCATCCCCAGTCACACTTGCACATCCCTTCCCTTTCTCAGAGAAGGGGAAGCCCCTGAGGGGTACCCACTCACCCAGGCACCTCAAGTCACAGCAGGGCTAAGCACATCCTCTCCCACTGAGGCCTGACAAGGCAGCCCAGCTAGGGAAAGTGGATCCCGAGGCAGGTGACAGAATTGGGGACAGCCCCTACTCCCACCGTTAAGGGGACCCATATGTGACCAACCTGCACATCTGCTACATATGTGTAGCAGGTCTAAGTCCAGCCCATGCATGTTTTTTGGTTGGTGGTTCAGTCTCTGTGTGTCCCCCACAGGCCCAGTCTAGTTTACTCTAGATCTTCTTGTGCTGTCCTTGACCCCTGCAGCTTCCTCTGTCTTTCCTCCAACTCTTCCACAAAACTCCCAGAGTTCAGCCCATTGTTTGGCTTTGGGTCTCTGCATCTGTTTCTATCAGCTGATGGTTTGTTTAAAAATTAGAATCAAACCTTGTAAAATCGGACGTGAACAGTGTCCTGAAGCTGAAGAAGTTGCCAGCTACCTTTATGCATCTTTTAATCTCAAAATTATTGCTGAAGTAACAACTATTGTGCTATATACAATTTGATAAATGTATTAGGATAATTGAAGTATCTGAAGTATAATTTCATTGATATTATCAATAAGCATAGCTATAAGGATGTACAATTATTTGTAATAAATTATGTTAAGGTGTTTGCAGTATATATTAGAAAGAATGAGCATTCCTTATTCTCTTGTAGAAAGAATTTAAGATGAAACTTCTTATAAAAATAATTAATTCAATTTGCTTGTAGCTTTTGTTAAATAAGGTTGTTTAAGTATTGATGATATATATTTTAAATTTTTGTGAAGTCTTAGGAATACAGGATATTGTGACTAATACTTGAAATTCCAGCACTTGGGAGACTGAGTCAGGAGGATCATCATGAGTTCAAGGCTACCCTGACTACAGAGCAAAACTACCTCAAAAAAAATTAAAAATAAATAAAATCTTAGGCCATGGGGTATTGACATTGTTTGATAATACGATTAATAACCAGCTCCCTGTGTAAGAAGAGAGACATTTTCATGGAGCAACTGTCTTCACTATGCTACCAACTGATATCAACTATTCATTTATTTTTATTTTTACATTTATCTTCACCAATGCAGAAAAATATTTAAAAATTTGTGTTTTTCATGATAGAGAGGCTTGATAAACAGACCAGGAAGAATCAAACATTGATCATAATAAGACAATACAGGACGTGTTCACAGCAGCAGAACACTGCCATCCGAGCGTTCCCCGCTTACCTTGGATATAGCTCTCCAGTCTCCTCGTAATTCAGAAACAATAAAACCTTATTTATTTTGCCTATAGCCATTCTTCTCCTATAAGTTCCACCATAACGTAATCTATTGCTTTGATTTTCCTCTTGACAACCACAAAAATATCACCTTCTCAGAACACTGTTTACTCAGAATAACAGTTTGGCCCATGACTATTCTCCCTGCCTGTTGCTACACTGAATTTTTTTTTTTAATTTCCTGGCTTTTACATGAACTTCTTAATCATGAAGAGATGTTCCCTGAGTATATCCCAAAATCACAAGCTAACTACACTTTCAGCCCTTCCGTAGTTTTCTCATTGAAAGCTCATTGTTGCTGTGATTGGAACGTTGTCTGGAATTGTTCTGTGAATCGTGTTCTTTCGTTTCTGTGCAAGCATGTCTTCACAACATGTATCCAAGTGCACATAATCTCCTCAGGTCATCTCAGAATTCATGTCACTTTCTACCTCTTCTAAATGTATTATAGATCTTTTGATTTTGCACACCTCATTGCCAAAACTAGTCATTTTCTTTTACGTGATATTTTTCATGACAAGAAAATATTTTTACAATAATTTTGAAGTAGTAAATACAGGACAAAATGTTGAGCTACAGAGACTACTAACTCATTCGTTACATAACTTACTATACCTGAGAATGAGGGAGCATCATTAGTAAAACTGCAAGTCACCCCACTGAGCTTTGTGTCATGCAAGCATAAAAGCAGCCCCCCCAAATTAAAATATGACCAAGACAATTGTTATATGTTATATAGATGCACAAATAAATCCATACTTTCTCTAGAATTTATATTTTTATTTTAGAATGGGGGATTAACTAGATACCTTTTAAAGGCATTAAAAAACAAAAGCTTGGTTTTGTTTAGAGCATATTCTGTAAAAGCAGAAATAAAGGGAGACATTATTTTGTAGAAAAAGAAAGTTTCTATTAAGATCCAGCTCTGGGATTTCTACATGTTTCTGTAGACAGTTCAGGCTTCTTTTGACATCATTTTTAATAAACAGCAATACAATCCCAGATCACTCGAGTAAATGAATGCATTTGCAGCATTCATTTGGCACCACATTCCCTTGATGATTATGCCATTTGATATGTTCTTTTTTGCCCTCTTTGTCAGCCTGGTTCTTCATGTCAATCTATAGTCTTTTATGTGGTTGACTTGACAGATGCAGGAAATTGCTGCCAAGCTTTGAAATGATTTTTTTCAGCAGTGGCATCTGGGTATCAGATGGTCCTCTTGGCTGGCCTCTTGTCTTGCTGCATGTTGGTTTTAGTGGGGTCTGGTGTAGCATCACCTGTTGCTATGTTCCCTTTTCCTCCCATATGTCCATTTCCCATGATTCAAGGATGGATGTGAGAATAAAAGCTACAGTTCTGTCTTTATTTTTGAAAAAAAAAAAAAAAAACCTACAGAAATATGTTACAAGGTACAGAGGTCTCTCTCTGACAAAGGATACTTCCCTTTGGCTGGCAGGCCTAATCATCTAATAATTTGTTTGCAACAACCAAGTTTTAAAAAGCATTTTAAAAGAAAGGCAAGAAGAAGGCTGCTGATTAATAAGTGGAAATGTCAGAACTGCTTTATCTCCTTTGGTTTGCATTAAGTCAGATTGTTCTCATTTTACAGCATAATTAAGGGAAATCATGTATTCATTTTAAAGACAAAGTTGTTCTCTCTGAAATAATTATCTTGCCCACTTCCAGAAATCCAAAATTACACTGTTTACATTTATATCAAATTTTTAAAAAACTAATAAGTACTGCAGGAAATTATTGTCATGAAGAAGACTTACCTCACATTATTAAATTTGGTGAATGTTGACACTGAGAAAGTTCATATGTGCTAAAATAACTATATATATATATATATATATTTTTTTTTTTAAACCTTCAACTCTCCAGGGCCCTGCCATCTTTTTCCTTTTGATGTTCATTTTGTGGCCCTGGGCACTTCTCGCAGATCCCATTCATTTTGGTAGCACCATAATTTAAAATAGTCCCAGTGGCACAGTTGCATGGAATCCCCTCAGATGCAGGAATCTGTAGATTCTAACTCACATTCTAATTTGCAGTCCCTAGAACAACACACATTTGTAACTGCTTCAGGCACTGCTTTTTAAGGGCTTGAGTTTTCTGCTATCTTTTAATGTATTTATTGTTTTATTAATTACAGTTTATTCACTTTGTATCCCAGCTGTAGCCCCCTCCCTTGCCCCCCTCCCAATCTCACATTTCCTCCCTCTTCTTCTCCCATGTCCCTCTCCCAGTCCACTGATAGGGGAAGTCCTCCTCCTCTTCCATCTGATCCCAGCCTATCAGTTCCCATCAGGACTGGCTGCATTGTCTTCCCCTATGGCCTAGTAAGGCTGTACCACCCCCCCTCAGGGGAAGTGATCACAGAGCCAGCCACTGAGTTCATGTCAGGGACAGTCCCTGTTCCCATTACTAGGAAACCCACTTGGACACTGAGCTGCCATGGGCTACATCTGAGCAGGGGTTCTAGGTTATCTTCATGAATGGTCCTTGATTGGAGTATCAGTCTCAGAAAAGACCCCTGGGTCCAGCTTTTTTGGTTCTGTTGCTCTCCTTGTGGAGCTCCTGACCCCTCCAGGTCCTTCTATCTCCCCCTTCTTTCATAAGATTTCATGCACTCTGCCCAAAGTTTGGCTATGAGTCTCAGCCTCTCCATTGATACCGTGCTGGGTAGAGTTTTTCAGAGCCCCTCTGTGGTGGGCTCCTATCCTGTTCCCTGTTTTCTCCCTCTTCCAATGTCTGCTCCATTTGCCTTTCTGCATGAGGATTGATCATCTTATCCAGGGTTCTCCTTCTTGCTTAGCTTCTTTAGGTGTACAGATTTTAGTAAGATTATCCCATGTCTAATACCCACTTATAAGTGAGCATATACCATGTGTGTCTTTTTGCTTCTGGGATACCTCACTCAGGATGATCTTTTCTAGTTCCTACCATTTACCTGCAAATATCATGATTTCCTTTTTTTAAATTGCTGAGTAGTATTTCATTGTGTAAATGTACCACAATTTCTGTATCCACTCCTCCATTGATGGACATCTGGGTTGTTTCCAGGTTCTAGCTATTACAAATAAAGCTGCTACAAACATGGTTGAACAAATATCCTTGTTGTGTACTTGACCATATTTTGGATATATGCCTAGGAGTGGTATAGCTGTATCTCAAGGAAGCTTTAGTCCTAATTGGCTGAGAAAGCACCAGATTGATTTCCAAAGTGGTTGTATAAGGTTACATTCTAACCAGCAATGGAGGAGGGTTAATCTTTCTCCACATCCTCTTCAGCATGCGTTGTCACTTGAGTTTTTCATCTTGGCCATTCTGATAGGTGTAAGGTGAAATCTCAGGGTCGTTTTGATTTGCATTTCCCTGATAGCTAAGGATGTTGAGCGTTTCTTTAAGTGTTTCTCTGCCACTTGATATTCCTCTATTGAGAAATCTCTCTCTTTAGCTCTATACCCCATTTTTTTAATTAGATTACTTGATTTGTTGCTATTTAACTTCTTGAGTTCTTTATATATTCTGGATATTAGCCCTTTGTCAGATACAGGATTGGAGAAGTTCCTTTCCCAACATGTAGGCTGTCATTTTTTTCTGACAACAGTGTCCTTTGCTTTATAGAAGTTTTCAGTTTCATGAGGTCCCATGTATTAATTGTTGATCTTAGAGCCTGTGTTGTTGGTGTTCTGTTCAGGAAGTTTTCTCTGGTGCCAATGAGTTCAAGGTTCTCCCCGACTTTTTCTTCTAACTGGTTTATTTAGTGTGTCTGGTTTTATATTGAGGTCTTTGATCCACTTGGACTTTTTTTTACTATAGCTTAGAAAATGTTTTGCTGATGGCTTTTTCATTTTACTGAAGCCATTTTTGGTTATGCTGACACCAAGATGTTTTTTCACTTTCTGGATACTCTTGGTATTCTCACTATCATACCAAATGTAACTACTCTATTTATTCTACTGTTACAATTATTACATTGAATTTTAAGATGTGTTAAAAGAATATATGTTTCTTTATAAAAAAATTAAAATAAAAAAATTTAAAACCCATTCCACTCAGGAGGCAGATGTAAGAGGATTGCCTATGAGTTCAAGGACAGGCTCAACTATATAATGATTGCAGGACACAGACTACATAAGGAGACATTGTATTTAAAATTGAGAGAAAGAAAGAAAGAAAATAAAGAGAAAGAAAGAGAAAAAATTTTAGTTTGTAACTTCTATTGCTTGTTTCTTGTGTGTTAATAATTATGCTAAGAAATTATGGAAAATACTAAGGAATGATTTGATATTTTCCATCTTTAATACGCTTGGTTTTATTATAGTAGAACCTAACATACACTTGGTATTTATGATATAGCTCACATTATTTTCAATGGTTTCTAAAATTAAGTAAGTTAATTATTACAACTTAATGAGATGCCTGTTATTAATATTATTAACTTCTCTGAGATAGAAAGAGGCCTAAGAGATTAAATGATTGACCTAAGGTCATTTTTGAGCTATCATTTGTTTTTTTGTTTTTTAAATTCCCCCCCCCCTTTTTTTAAAAACCTGAAAATAGTTTCTTCTCTCATAAAGTACATCTGACCAAGATTTTCCCTCCCTCTACTCCTCCCAGATCCACTCCTTATTCATTTCCTCTTCAGAAAATAGCAGGCCTCCAAGAGATAACAGTGAACAGGACAGGACAAAGAAGTGTAAGATAAGGCAAAAGCCTTCTTATGGAGACTGAACAATGCAACCCAGCTGAAGGAAAGGAGCCCCAAGAGCAGGCGAAAGAGTTAGAGATATACCACTCCCACTGTTAGGAGTCCAGCAGAACCACCAAGCTTACAGCCATAACATACATGCAGAGGGCCTGGTGAAGACCCACATAGGCCCAGTGCTTGCCCTCATTTGAACCCAGCAATGTGTTTCCAGAACATACCCTCTTAGTCATTATGTTACATGAGCTTCCATGAAGTAGTATTGAAAAAAATGAAAGTAAGACCTAAGACATAATGTAAATCAAGATTTTTGCTGCCACTGAGCTGTTAAACTTCCTTCATCTCCAGAGCACAGAAGGAGAGGACAATTGTGCTCTTCAGTGTGTCTGAGTTCTCTTCTCAGAGATCTAACCCAATCAACCCTTCTCGAGAGCACTGTGGCGCCTACTTTACTTCACTTAATTTTCTGCCTGCACTCGAGTTCCGGATGGTAATGATGGAGTGGAATTACAGAGGGGACAGAAAGTACAAATGCTCCTATTTCAAAGGATGGCTTGTTTCTTTGGCTGTTGAGAAGGCAATAAAATGAGAAGAAGGTCACAATGTACTGAGATAAAAGGACCATGCACAGATATAACCTAGAACCCCTGCTCAGACGTAGCCCAAGGCAGTTCAGCATTTAAGTGGGTTTTCCTAGTGAGGGGAACAGAGGCTGTCTCTGACATGAACTCAGTGGACTTAGAGAGGGGCAGGGAGGAGATGAGGGATGGAGGGAGGATGGGATTGGGAGGGAATGAGGGAGTGGGCTACAGCTGGGATACAAAGTAAATAGCCTGTAATTAATATAAAAAATAAAAATTAAAAAAGTGAGAATAAATAAGGGAGATTAGGCTGTATGATATTATGTTTTCCAATAAAACATCAGGCCTAAAATGAGAGAAGGCTGTTAAAAACTGTATCTTAGAAGTTAGCTCTAGGGCACCTGCTGTAAGGGGCTTCTTGGTGTTGTCAGGAAGTGGTTTCTGTTGTCAACCAAGCCATCAGTAGCTGTTGGTGACGCCATTCCCTTCTCTTTTTCTATTCTTTTAATAGAAAGGCTGTGGCTATCACCTGGATCTGCTAATGGTGGCTGTCATGCTCGGGGTGTGCTCCATTATGGGGCTGCCGTGGTTTGTGGCCGCCACAGTCCTCTCTATCACTCATGTCAACAGTCTGAAGCTGGAATCAGAGTGCTCCGCTCCAGGAGAACAGCCCAAGTTTCTCGGCATTAGAGAGCAGAGGGTGACTGGGCTCATGATTTTTATTCTTATGGGTTCATCAGTTTTTATGACCAGTATTCTGAAGGTAATAAAATTATCCCTTGTGAATGAGAGAAAGAATATATATGTTTAAGATACCGTTTTAATATAGGCATAAATTTATAAATATTACATGCCATGAGATAAAAGTGGTAATTAAAAAAAAAGTTTATTTAATTCTCCTTCACCAAGTTTATTAAATTTGTCCTGAGTTTTAGAATCCTTAAAGTACTTGAAAGTACAACTTTGTTATACTTTGTGGCAGAAAAAAAAAAAAATTGGTTTATAGCTTTCAAGCCATCGGAAAGGTCACACTCTCTGAGTAGCTGGTGACTGAACTCACTACAGTTCTACCCAAGTTAAAGTTTCTATTACTGTGTCAGTCTGTAGATCGACTATTACATAAGTCAGTGATGCAGACAGGACAACGACTATGCCGTCATCACACAGACAGCTTTATATTCTGAAGGCCTCACACAAACACTGCATCAAATCATCACGGCCTATAAGTAATTTTCGCATTTAAAATTATTGCGTTAACTTTGAGTCACAGTAAAGAAATTACTGTTTTGTCATATGACTCCGGCAGATACTCTTATAGCCACATTATGAATTATCATCCATCTTGATTGAGTTAAATACTATTTGAATTGTTTAACTTTCATAGCATCTTGTATTTAACCATTGAAAACTTATATTTCTGTTATGTAAGCACTAGTATACTGTATAAATTGAGCTAACCCAAGAAACTTGAACAGTCCACGCGTTAACAAATATTAGCCACAACAAAGGACCAAACTGTTAAAGTAAAACTTCATTCTTTACCTTTGATCCAGATATCTTACTATTCTAAAATAGAATGTAAACTGTCCTTAAAGTGGCTAACAGTCAGTATTTATTGTGGTGCAGTAATGGTTTTATGGTACTATTTCTTAGGAAACGCAGTTTATAGAAAAAGTTTAATACTTACAGTGACTACTGTTATCATATTTTTTTAGATACCAAGAAATTAAGGTACAGACAGTGTAAGTAACTGTTTAATGTTACACAGATTTAAAAAATGCTAAGGTATAATTTGAAATTATGTCTTCTGATTTTTGTGCTATACTTGCTTCTAGAATGTTTTGCACTTTCCTTTTTCCCCTCTTTGGTAAGTGTGAAACTGAATGACCATATGTTGGGAAATGATGGCTGCCATTTTTCTAATTGTGTTTTTTTACAGTTTATCCCCATGCCAGTGTTATATGGAGTGTTTCTTTATATGGGTGCTTCATCTCTAAAGGGAATTCAGGTAAATTACTTTACTCTTACAGGCATATCTGCTGTAACGTAATAGATGCTGAGTCATGTGACAGCAAGGATTATCTGAGGCGAGACTGTCCAACCACACATAAATTTTATGAAAGTGGCCAGAATTGTAGATGATTCTCTGTTAAGTGAGCACCCTCTCATTTATGTGCTATCTCCAACCACAAAGATTAATAACCTTAAATTATTATGTGCATGTTCATGTGTGCGTGTGCACATCTGTGTACGTGTGTGTTTATCTGTGTGTATGTGTGTGTTTGAAGGGAGAATGCATGTACATGTGGAGGCCAGAGGACAACCACGGAATATCACTGTCTTGGTTAGAGTGGCTGGCCAGTGAATCCAGGGATGTTGCTCTCTCTGTTTTCCCAGCCCTCAGAATACAATCAAGCGCCATAAGACTGGCTTTATTATGTGAGCTCTGAGGACCTAACTTTGGTCTTCATGCTTGTACAGCAAACACTTTGCCAGTTGAGCTACTGTTTACTATAAATACATTAACGCTGAAAAGCTTGCTAAGGACCATGTATGGTTATACCTTAGAACCCCTGCTCAGATGTAGCCCATGGCAGCTCAGTATCCAAGTGGGTACCCTAGTAAGGGGAACAGGAACTATTTCTGACATGAACTCAATGGCTGGCTCTTTGACCTCCCCTCTCCATCCTTCCCCCCGCACCCCCCCCCCCCGTCAGGGAGGAGCAGCCTTACTAGGCCACAGAGGAGGATATTGCAGCCAGTCCTGATGAGATCTGATAAGCTAGGGTCAGATGAAAGGGGAGGAGGTCCTCCCCTATCAATAGACTGGGAAAGGGGTAGGGAGAAGGTGAGAGAGGGAAGGTGGGAATGGGAGAGAATGAGGGAGCAGGATACAGCTGGGATACAAAGTTAATAAACTGTAACTAATATTAAAAAATAAAAATTTAAAAAAAATAATGAGTTAAAAAAACGAAAAGTTTGGTTTTCACCACCCTTTTAGAAAATGAATTAAGTTCATTTCAAAATACATACAAATGCAAATACTCAATCAAGACTTGGAATTTATCCGCAACAATAGAAAAATACCTTACACAAAAGACAATTTCTTCAAAAGAAAGTGTTGCATGCAACATATATTGTTAAATATTGGAACATAAAGTAAAATACATTTACTGAAAATTCTAGTAAAAATGATCACAAAAGAAACATGGCAAAGTCTTTGCTGTACAAAGGAAAGGAAAACCTGCCATACATTTGCAAAGTTCTGAGCTTGGGCTCAAGGTAGAGAAATAAAAGCAATTTGTCAAAAGAATAAGATCCCGGTTACTTTTCTTTTTCTTTGATGTTTGTTCTTTTTTTTTTTTTATTACAATTACATCATAGAATTATTTTGAAAATTAAGTTACAATAAAGGCATAGAACAAGGAACATTAAATGTAAGTGAAAGTATGGTTTAAATATTGTTTGAATAAATATTTTAGGTATTTGTTAGTTTTATTTTTCCTGCCTAAAATGTAATTTAGTAGCTAAAGCAGGAAATATCCTTTATCTCAATATTTGCAAGTTATGAATCTGGACTATTAGCTACATGGTTCTGGGTCAAAAATCTTTCTTTTGGTTGACAAGGGTTTCTAGAGGCTTAATCTGGAGGCTTAATAGAGTTAGAAGATCATCTTCAAGATGACTTTAAACATGGCTGAGAGCAAGTGGTTTTACTGGTTCCTCTCCCTTTATTATCAGGAGTCCTCAGATTTTGGCCACAAGCACAACTCTATGCTTATGAATGCTCACATTAAAGTTAACTTCTTTGGAGTGAGCAATACAAAAGTATGTGTGAGAAGGGGTGGGAAATAAAGGAGGGATGGAGAGAGACAGAGACAGAGAGAATGCTTTTTGGTTTACTCTCCAAAATCACAGGTGACCTTGTCAGTCTTTCTGTTGTTCTGTTGGTTTGAAATGAACCACCAAGTCCATATTTTGTAAAAGAGGAAGGAAATTAGATCTCACTTACTGAGGAGTGTCAGAGAATATGTAGACACATTTGCAAACCTACATGGGTGTACTCTGAACCTTTGGAGAGCTATTGGCAAATTCTTTCTGCTGATTTCTTTTAGGAAGCTATTACAGGTTTGACTTTGTGTGGTCCCTCAAAGTCATGTCTCACTAAATTAATGACCTGAGTACTTATGAACCAAGAGGATTTATTATTTGTAATTCTTTAACCAAGATACCTGAAAACTTAAGAGTAGAACCATTTATTTTGCTCACGCTACCAGGAGATTTCAGACCATCATAACAGGGCAGCCTTGGTAGAGTAGTTCTGTCCCAGTAGTGGGAACATGTGGTAATGGTTGGTCACAAGGCAACAAAACAGAAGTCAGAAAGTGTGGTACTTGAACTATTGGCTGGCTGTAGCTTACAAAGGCCTGGCCCCAGGGACCTACTTTTGCTCTCCCACTGCTACATGCTAAAGCAGTGTCAGCACTGGAGATGAAGTGTTCAGAGCATGAACCTGTAGGGAACATACCCAGAGACTCAATCCATATCTGACAGGACACACTCATAGGTAAGAGGGCTGTGTTAGGATGGAGGTAGAGGTTAGAGTTTTGCTGCCACAATGTAAGAATACAGGAAGCCATCAAGAGCTGAAAGAAGTGGAAAAACATTCTCTCTTTAGCCTTACAGAGGGGTCAGAATCCTGCTAAAATCTCCATTTTTGTACTTCTGACCGCCACAACTAAACAATAGTATGTTGCTGCATTAAACCAAAATGCTGTAGTAATTTCTTCTGTAACCTTCAGAAATGAATACAGACATCTACTTAACTGTACCTCTGAATTGTCTTTGTTTATAACAATACTATTCAGCCAAAACACTTCATTTTCTTCATGAGAGATTATATTGAGGCTCATTTATTGTACAGATTTTTTTTAACTAAAAGTAATATTAAGTGCAGCTTTTACTATGGTAACTGCTCTAACTGCTGATCAAAACATAGAGAGGTCCTGGCTGACGAACAAGAAGCACCAGGTCTCTGGCCAGCTGCCTACTGATTTTGAGAGGAGCAGCATCCAGACCCTGGTACAATGTTGGTTGTCAGAGCGGAGGCAAAAGCCTCAACATGAAGCCATTGTAAGACACTAAAATACACAAGGTGTAAGGACTCTATGCCTCTAGGAAGGAAAGGGGTGATAGAGAACTGATGTGTTTTAAAATTTTTCACAAATAAGATTTAACCTGCTCATTTAAAATTTGGCAAAAGTTTCAATGAGTAGTGATTTCGTCTGTAAGTGGAAAGCATTTCTCATTAGGCCACAGGCTCACATAAACATAACAGCAGGAATTTAAAAACAAAATGAAATAATTGTGGGGAGATTTTCTTCTAATTCTGCTCAAGTAATCTTTTTACCCATGTGGTTTAGAATTAAACAAAATGTCAAATTTTAGAATTATTTGGGATCTTTTCAAATGGAATTGTGGAGAACACCGAAGTCCTCAAGTCAAGTTTAGTGAGTTTTAAATCGCACTAATGAAATAGAAAGCCAAGGCACACTTTGTCAGGCCTCACACTGAGACATAGAACTAGTGAAATTTTAAGTGAACAGTTGAAATTCCTACTGGGAGCTGAAACTAACTGGATTGGGAGATATTACATGTTTTTAAGCCAAATACAAATCTTAGAGTATATTTACCACGATCTGTATTCCTGTAGTAATAATAAGAAAAGCAAACATCTTAGCTGTATATGTTAGATAGCTCAAGAAGCGTGCTACTTTGTTACCAAGCGAGTTGGAGGAAACTTTATGTCACCTGGCTTTTTGGCACTATTAAGGAACTTACTATGTAGGCTTCTCGCTGTGAAATATGGCAGAAAAAACAGATCACAATGTTCTCATGAATGCTGTTTCTGTATTCAAATATATAACCACATCTATATTCATTCCAACATTTCAGGGATCCAAAGTGAAGCAAATGTGCCACTTAAACAATAACAATTGAAGCACCCACTCACTGAAGCACACTTATGCAACAACATAGCTCCCTAAGAGGAGAATGATGTGTGGGGGGGATCCTATAGGAACAGACATTCAGTTGTAAGCTAGAGGATTTAGTTTCTTCCCTATTCTTATTTCCACTATGCACAAAATTGTATTTGTTAAATGCTTCCTCGCTTGAAGAGATGGTTATAAAGTAGAAAAGGCACACACGCATGCACGCGCGCGTGCGTGCACACACACACACACACACACGAGAGGTGAGCAAACAATGTGTTAGAAGTTAGTGCTGTCAGGGGCTTTGGCAAATAGCTTTGGAAGGTGATGAATGAACTTTAACAGGTGAAGTAATGCATGTATGATTATAGTTCAGATAACTGAAGAGCAGTTTGCTATACTTAAGACAGAGATCACCAAAGAGATGATAGGTTTGTGATTTTTTATGTCCTATCACCTATCTCATATAAAATTGGGTTTTAACAAATGCAAGATGCTCTAACCCTAACTGTATAGACACTTGTCTATCTGCAGAGTAAAGCCTGAAATATTTTATGATAGCAGCTGAAACTTTTCTTATGGTAGCTAAGAAATATTGTATTTATCAATGTTCTTTTGAAAATGCATAGGTTATTTTATCATAAAGAATTTTATGAAATGGAATAGTGATTGACAGTGGTCAAAACCTTTATTTTTTAAGTAACCACTTCTTGTTGGAAATGTTATCAACAACAGAATTTGGCCTAAAGATTAAACAAGTGGCTCACACAAAATAAAACTAATGTGTACTAAAATGAGTTAGTCAATAAAATGTGTTGAAGTAAGATTCCATAGAAATGAGTTTATAAAATAAATTTAGAGTTATTTTATCTATCACGATGACAAAATTGAAAGATGATCCATTGATTACACTGGCCCCATCTATATTTTCAATTGATCCAAGTAAGATAGTTTTGCATTTCTGTATGTGTCTGCATTGATATGTTATCTGTATGCATTTGTGCGGGTGTGGGTGCAGGCACATATAGCTATGAATGCATGGGTTCACGTGTAGATGTGTGCGTGCATGTGGAGGCCAGAAGTCAGCATTGGGCATCTTCCTCAGGCACTTGCTGCCTTGTTTTCTGAGACTAGGCCTCTCAGTGAACCTGGAGCTCACAGACTTGCTGGACTGACTGTGTCCATCTTTTACATGTGTGCTGGCAATCTGAAGTCAGACCCTCAGGCTTGCACTATCTCCCCAGCCCCCAAGAAAAATAACTTCAACAAAATAGAATAAAACACTTCGGTAACAAAAATATAGGTAAGCCAAACCTTTATGGTAAAGATGCATATGTTTCTAAAGACAGCATCAAATCCTTTGTTGGGGACCAAAGGGGCAAAGTCAAGACAGCAGGGCTCAGTAATGAATCCAAGGCACTCTACCAGGATGCTGGGTTTGTGTGGAGCTTGGGGGAGACAGAAATGGGTCTGGGAATTCTCAGCATGGTAATTAGTACAAGCCAAAGCCCTCTACAGGAGAGAAGGAAGCACACTGACCACATGACGCAGAGAAGACCAATATGTGGGACAGAAGGGAGCAATTATGAAGTGAGAAACAAAAAGAGGGTGATTTTATTTGTCTTGTCAAGGTACTGGTTCTCAGGGCAGCACAATGTACCACTGGCTTTCCCTTTTAAACGACACCTGTTATAATATTAGCATAATATTCTATCAGGCTACTTTTAAAGCCCAAAATCTGTCAATTCCATTGTCCTCCAATTTCCACAACTATGCCATTTGAATGTAATACTATCTAATTGTCCTACAGTTACTGTTGTCTTGTTCTGAGATGCAATCTAGTCTGTTTAATCTTTTAGTTATTTGATAGAATAAAACTCTTCTGGATGCCGGCCAAACATCAACCAGATTTTATCTATCTAAGGCATGTGCCTCTCCGGAAAGTCCATCTCTTCACAGTCATTCAGATGAGTTGTCTTGGCCTTTTGTGGATAATCAAAGTTTCGAGAGCTGCTATCGTCTTTCCTATGATGGTATGAAACTTCCTTCAACTAATTTTCTCTTTGAGTGAATTTTGGAATACACATGAACTAAAACTGCAACCATAGAGTGGCCCTGAATCACTCTGAACACTTTCTAGAAAAGCTAGGATAAACATGGGCACTAAAATAGGGTTTGAAAGATATTTTGCGTTTTTCTTTTTTTTTAGCAGTTTTTTTTTTTTTTTCTTTTTTTTTTTTTTTGTCATCCATAATCTAGTAATTAATTGAAAGCAGGATGGAAAATGAAAATTTTTTAAATTAGCATTGCAATACTAATAAATATGAAAAATCAAGGGAATTTTAAAAATGAAATTTGATTAAATGTTTCAGACAAATTTCAATTACATTAAAAGGTTTAGCAAATTTGAATGGCTATGCATAATTCAGAAATTATTGGCATAATAAGAATCTTCTAATGTTTATTTATCATGGTTTAAGCTTTTAATTATGTATTTAGGGAAGCATAATCAAATATATTTTATAGACTATAAACTTTCTTTAAAATGCCTTCAACATTGAATACAATCTTTTTTAAATTAAGTTATTTTTTTATTAATTACAGTTTATTCACTTTGTATCCCAGCTGTAACTCCCTCCCTCATCCCCTCTCAATCTCACCCTCCCTCCCTTAACTCCTCCCATGTCCTTCCCCAAGTCCACTGCTAGGGGAGGTCCTCCTCCCCTTCCCTCTGACCCTAGCCTATCAGGTCTCATCAAGACTGGCTGCATTGTCCTCCTCTGTGGCCTAATAAGGTTGCTCTTCCCTCAGGGGGAGGTGATCAAAGAGCTAGCCACTGAGTTCATGTCAGAGACAGTCCCTGTTCTTAAATTTCATTCTGGTGCTTTGAAAAGAAAAGGAATGAAAGATCAGACCATGTTTTAAACACATGTATTTCCAATATTTAGTTTAATATCACTCCTAATACAGACTTGTCTATATCTTCCTTCCTTCCATCCTTCCTTTCTTCCTTTCTTTCGTTCTTTTATTTTTTTCATTGTTTTGTTTTTCATTTTAAATTACTTTCCTGTGTTCTTCAGGTGTTGGCCCTGGTATTTGTGAGAAAATTGATGGACTTCTTGTTTACCAAACGGGAACTCAGCTGGCTCGATGACCTGATGCCAGAAAGTAAGAAGAAGAAACTTGAGGATGCTGAAAAAGAAGTAAGTCCGAATAAAATTGGAATTTTATTTAAGAGAAAAGAACAATAGTAGTTCTTTGCAAAACCAATTTTTTGCGTTTGTCATTAAATGGTGATTACTAAATACTCCAGGTAGAAAGATTTGGAAGCTTTATGTGTCATATAGCTGGGGCAGGGTGTGGGGTGGGAAGAGAGCTTCCATGAGTAAGTCAACCCTACATGAAATATGCAAATGCCTGCTTTTAGTTACTTTCCAAATTATAAGGCTGATTTTTCAAATTTCTTGATCATGGATGAGATAACATTGCTGATGTGTAGCTGTTTCTATGTTATAGTCATATAATTACTGCTTTTTGGTTGAATATGCTTGAAAAGGATAAAATGTGATACATCACTGTTGGTATTTTTCTTACTAACAGGTTTGAAGCAGTAGATTTGAATAAAATTGATATCCGTAAAACAGACAAAATATTGAAGAAAATTTGACTTGATTTGCTTCCAAGACGATCCAAGCTTTTCTAAAAAAATGTTTGAGAGTGTTCTGGGTTTTAGTTAACTTGATGGACTACTGATTTATCCTTTTCTGTTTCATTAGAGAGAAAACACATGAGATATGAGTTTTATGAGATATTTAAAGCTCATATGTCAGCCTGGATCTTTTTAAAGGCCATTTAATCATACCATTATTAAAGTACATAAAATCCATAAGGAATGTAAATTAAAATAATGACCCATTCAACACTTTTAGCAGAGTTACTGAGCCCAAAGATTACAAAACACAAAAATGAAATTTCTATGTATTAACGAAATAGAAAACATTTTAGGAAAATTGTGCATTCTTTCCAGTTTTGTTTTCACAGGTGTTTACTAAAAGTGTTCAGCTTATTTTCTATAGAATATCTTTTGGACCATAGATTTATTTCTTTTTTTCTTCAGGTAACTTTATTTGTAAACATGAAAAGAGTTTTTGTTTTGCTCAGTCATTTAGATAGGCCGGATTGGACCGTAAATCCTGATGAAGTTTTAGCCAAGAACATTCTACCAACATAGCTATATAACATATAATTGGTGGTTCCTTTCTCCATGGTATCCACATTTAAAGATATCATAATATCATATCTTATTTCTGTATGAATGTTTCAATTTTCCAAAATGGTGTACAAAGCATGTAAAGAGTCACACTTCCAATAATGTTAACGTTAAATTGAAATATTGTGATACTGTCATTGTTTTCTGTTGACTATAATCATCTACACACTAGAGATCTTTTTAAAATAATACTGTAACAATTCATCTATGATGTAATAAAATTCATTCCACCTGAAAATTTTTCCAAGGTTTAAAGTTTGAAGGGAAGTAATTTTGAAGACAAAATTTATTCTCCTCTCATCTTTGCAGTAATTATACCATCAAGCTCACTCATCTAGTAATGTACACATTATGTTTTCTTTATTGTCTTGCTTTTATTTCCCATCACACATCTTTACTGTACCTGGTGGAATAACATAGAAGCACCTTCTTCCATAGAGTGCTGTGCCTTTCACAGCGTTCTCCCGAGGCCATTCTCAGCATAAAACATTCTTAGAATTTTATTTCTCTTAGTATGTGGTAAGCACCTAAGGAAAATGCTACCTTTGTCATTCTTTTCTACTATTATAGAAAGGCAATGTCTGATTCTCCTGTTTGTCCGTGACATTGTAGAAAACAAAGTGACCATGATATATTTATTAGAACTAGCCACTGAAACCTTGCATGGTGGTATCCAGCCAAAAGATTTAACTGAGATATGATTATTACTAACAGAATTAGCCATTCCTATTGCCCATAACTACTTACTATATACATAGTACTTATATATCTCTGTGTATCATGGATGCATTTTGGAAATTTATTAACAGCACTGAGACCTTGTATAGAGTTTCCAACCTTTTTACATTCTATCGTACTATGCCTTACTGTGCTCTGATGGGGTTTACTATTTTGTGAATTTGAAAGTAAATATTCTAAGAGCAACTAAATACCACTAAATTTCCTAGAACTTATACTTTCAGCAAGGATAAAAAATAGAATAAGTTTTCAATTAGCCCATGGCAGCTCTGTATCCAAGTGGGTTCCCTAGTAAAAGGAACAGGGACTGTTTCTGACATGAACTCAATAGCTGGCTTTTTGACCCCCTTTCCCTGAGGGAGGAGCAGCCTTGCTAGGTCACAGAGGAGGACATTGCAGCCAATCCTAAAGAGACCTGATAAACTAGGGTCAGATGGAAGGGGAAAAGAACCTCCCCTATCAGTGGACTTAGAGAGGAGCAGGGAGAAGATGGGAGAGGGAGGATGGGATTGGGAGGGATTGAGGTAGGGGGCTACAGCTGGGATACAAAGTAAATAAACTGTAACTAATATTAAAAAAACTTAATAAAAATTACAATAAGAAAAAATACAATAAGACTTACTTGGGCGATTCTAGTTGATTCCTTCAGAGGGTGAAGAAAATATCTTGTGATATATTTACCAGAATGCTAATACCTTACCTGCAAATCTTAGATAGATTATAACAATGATACTTTCATGTGATCCTAACTTCATGGAAATAAATAGGAAACCTAGTATTTCATTAAGGAAATACTTATACTCAAACATTAAAATACAGCTCTAAGTACTGCCAATAGACATTACTGCAACAAAGGGGAGAGATGGAGAAAAGGATGTATGAAGATGCTTATGATCTGTTTGGAATTAGCACTGAAAAAGTAGAGTCCGTGAGGGGTGGAGGAGGACATGGGGAGGAGGACACTGTAGCTTAAATCCAAGGTTCATTTTCTACTTGAGGGCCCAGATTTAGGTATTTTCTTTTCTTGAGCCTATGAATTTCCCTGAAAGATGATTCTACTACAGCGTCTTGTACCAACGCCCGGTGCTCCAAGGGCTTGTACAATATTGTGGATAACGGTCAACGTTCTTCAGAAATGTTCAGATCAATTGAGGAACTCTGATTACGATCTGGCAAGATGCTAAGCAGCAGAAATTCCTCAGCTTCCCTAGACTTGAATTTCAAGGGAGCTCACCTCTTGTCCTTTTGATGATAGTTATAAGCTTGTACCTTTATCCTTCAGGGTTCCCCTATGAGTAGTCCATTTCTGGTCCTAGGGCACTGAGAAAACATTCATTTGACCTTAAGATTCAATGATGAGTTAAGCAGAATAAATAGCTGCGCGGGCCAGTCCAAGGTCGCGGAGCTTCTGTTCCAGATTTCATGCGCTTCATGCATATGTATGTGCATATGCTTCAGTGTTTAGAAAGAAAGGATTATAATCAGGGTAGAAACGAAGATTGGAACCCTGACATTTTGCACATTGCTCCGCGTAAAGGGAAGACTGCAGAATCAATTCTGGATGTCCAAATGTGCTCCGAGTACCAACATGCCTTCCTTCCTACTTAAATATTCTCTAGGACATTGTACACATGACAAAAGGACCGCTAAATGCGGAAAACTCCAGCGGAGTGTTTGCTCTTGGGGGAAAGCAAGGGTGCTGGTGTTAGGCCGAGGCTGGGAGTTCAGTTCTGTGGAACTGTTCGGATCTATACCTTCTCCGTATCTGAGGAGAAACCCGAACACTCACACTAGCGAGAAGACACAAAGAAGGCAAGTGCGGCCTTGTGATCGTGAGAAATTCCAAGAAAGTACAATCTAAAAATAAGCACAATTAAACAAATTACAGCAAATGCTTTACTTCTCAGAGAGGTAAGAATTGGCTGTGGACTTGGGAAGCACGTCCTAATTACTGACGCAGATAAATGTTTTTTTTTTATAAATCAACTGTAGAGTAGGACAAGTACATTCTATCTCCTGAAGCAGCACTTTCCCAAAATGTGGTTCCAGGATCTCTGCTACACCACCCAGCACCTTGAAGTATTTTAAGAATGCAAATCCATAGGCCTATTTCATCAAAATGCTGGGTGTTAGAACCAGCAATCTGTTTTCTTAAGACCTCCAGGTGATTTTGACATCTGAGATAAGTATTTTATCACACTTACAGAATCTCAATCTCTATATAACTAAGTTCTTAATACAAGATTACTGTGTCAGAATTTTTGCACTTAGAGTAATTTAGGCAGTTACTTAAAGGTACTGAATCAGGTCCAGTGAGATGACTCAGCAGATAAGGGTGCTGGCCATCAAGCCTTCCAACCAGACTGATTCCTGGAAACCGCTTGGAGAAGGAGAAAACAAACTTCTGTAAGTTGTTTTCTGACTGCCACACGTGATCTCTCTCTGTCTCTCTCTCTCTCTCAATCTCAAACACACACACACACACACACACACACACACACACGCAATTCAAAAGTTGCTGAGTCAAACCTTCTGATGCCCCATGGACCTAACTGAATTCTATATGTCCCACTCCATTTTTACCTTTTAAGCTTTTATTGTTTTATGTCATCAACTCTATAATATGTTGGAAATCAGAAATGATACTTTTTTTAAAAGTATAACATTTATTGTTTTCAAAGTATATACATATGCAGTATCTGCTGCCTTCTGTACTAATTGAGAGAATGAAATGCTAGGTGCTTCTTAAGTTCTGCAGGCCTTATTTGCCTCTGTAGTAAAACAAAGTGTTAAACATTGAGTACTGAATCTCCACTCATTCCTTAAAAAACATAGATTGTAAATAGTTAACTAATTGATCCCTATAAAACTTAGGTATCCTTGTGAACAGCAACTCTCTGCTATTGTTTATACTTTGAGAGTTTTCAGGGCCCCCACAGAGATACAGACGCTGCTCCCCAAATGGATAATAACTGAAGTTACCTATTTTACTGCAGGTGAAGGACAGAGCACAAGTCAGGTACTGTACTATAACAATTATAATTTTTTCACTATTCCAAAATAAAGTTCAGACTAAGGATGTAATATCATTTAGTTTATCAAAAAATGCTAGAATGTGATGGGTTATATTTTCCATTTCAACTTAGCAATGAGCCTTTGGGTTTAAAGAAGGTAGTTGCTCACTGTCATGAAACA